CATGTCAACAACACGAACAACTGATTCAATATAGTAGGTAAAAACGTGATAACGGTGACTAGTTGAACTGCATGTGCCGCTTTCAAAATTTTGCAGGTTTCTGAATCCGATGGTACCGTTGAGGGTCTCGTATCCAGAATGCGTTCAGCGTGAATGAACAGATTGTGCAGATGAATGTCTCGCGTAAATACCGTTGAAATTAATTGAAACGATACTGTGAAGATAGGTCGTTGAGAATCGATCCACGTGATATCCGGTCCCGCGTTCTGCGAACACATACAAATCTCATGTTATATCAATTAAATACATTTGTTTTACCATATGTATGTCTCTAGAAATGTAATTGCATTCGGTGATTGTTTTTAAATTTAATCTCGTCTGTTTTAGCAACTAATTTATTTAAATGTAATTACAATGTACTTTATTACATTGTGATCATTTAATGATATTAATTAATAATACCCATGATCGATCTTACTCTTACCCCTTTCCCTAGTCCAAGGGGTTGTATGGAAAGGTATCCATGTGGCAAGTGCGTCGCTACAGGCAGTACCTGGATACTCGATTCTACGTCCACGTTCAGTCTGTACATAGAATTTTAAAGACGAATTTATCTATAGATAAAAGTGCCAAATATGTCAGCAGTTTTAGCTCCAAATTATTGATTTCATCAAACATTTCGCCTACCTTCCTTTATATAGTAAAGGTGCCCACGCATAGCCAACACAATTTTCAACGCCGTTCTCCTTCTTCTTGTTCATATCACAGCTTATGTGGTAAAAGGAAAAAAGTATATGATGTTTCGCATGCAACTTTGTAGGCAGCTTTATCTTGATCTCTTCATACCAAGAAGGTACCGCGTTGTGATGTAAAACTGCGCATGATGCTCGCAGGCATAACAATGGTGTACCAGGTCTTCCGTAGATTGCCTATCACAAATAGCAAAAAGAAAAATAAGAGCTTATAGATTCCGCAATTCTCGTATAAACTTATATACAAGAGAAAGCTTTTATTATTCGTACTCGTAAAGGTTTGACATTCTCGCCATCGTCGTCACGGAGCTCCATGATGCACGCTATGTTCCTAGCTCGAGTAAACATTTTCTGACTGTCAAAACAGAGCGTGTGTGGATATACGTAGAGATGATTGATGTACGTCGTGTACGGATGCACGTCTTTTTCAGAAATACTCTCGAACTCGGCGATCTCAATCGTCGGCTCTGCCGTTGGAGGTATCGGAAATGGCTTTAATGGCGCTAGGCAAGTCGACAATGTATCTAGAAATCGTACCGTGTTCAAAACTATAGACTATAATTTCTTTTTTCAAGAATTAAAAATCAATTTGTTTGTTACAAGGATTGCTAAAATAATTATACTTAAAAGAATTAAATTGCATGCAAAAGTCGTTTGGCTTTTGTATACAGATATTGCATATTCAAATTATTTTTCCTCAGATTTTTTATTTTTTAAAGCTCAAAATTTGCAAATTTTTTTTTAACCCTGAGATACTTCTAAAATATTTCGCAAAGATCATCGTACAAAAACCAAAACCCAATTTTTTTAATAATATTAAAAGTTATAATATTACATAAGTTAAATAATATAATTATCATTTTACATTGTATTATTAAATTCACTCATTGTATTATTAACTCACTTTCTGGGATGTCCATAATAGATTCTATTTTGATTTTTAACCAACCAGGTATCACAGTCAATTTGCTAAGCTTTTCAGGCCTGTGAGAAAATTTTATCGATATATCTGATTACATCTGCAGCATACACATTAAAAAAGCTCCATAATATATAAATATCATTAAATAATACTAATTAATTATGAGCACACATACTTTCTATATTCTGAAAGGAGTTTTAATAATTCTTCATCCTTTATTTTGTTGTTTTCCTGCCTGTATATTGCTGGAAAGTCTGAGGATGTATCCAATTCGTTACTATATAATCTAAACAGTGGCCTTGCAGACCATGCAAATGGCATTCTATAGTTTCCCAGTCTAAAAGAAAAACGATTGCAAAGTCTTTCATATAATCATTTCTTTAATTGTCTAGTTGCACGTGTAAACCAAGAGATTTGCATAATACAAAATTGCATAATACAAAAAAAATATCTGAAACTTACAATCTTACCTTTGACAACATGCTCGAGCTTGTTTGTGCACCTTTAAGCCCAATCTTGGATCCTTAGTAGCTCTCAAATATGGTTCTGAGATCTGATATATATTCCCTTGGAGCAACTTGTCTATTCTGACAACGAGAAATATGTCTGGATGAGGATTGTTAATATTGAATATGGCCTGCAACAACAATTGTTTTTCAAACTTTGAGTATTTTTTATAAATCTTTATCTCGTATTTATATTTGTAAAATTATATACGATGTAAAATTATCAATTTTTCTCCTGCTTTTCTTGTACTTAAGTAATCGCATACCTGTTTCGGATACTTGATCCAATCTGAAGGAATGTTTTTTAACTCCCCAGGAAAAGTAATATCTTCCGTCTCCGTTGTGATTCCTGCGGGACTCAATTCTCTCATCATATCCCGCACCATTTCGTGATTAATATCGAAATGAAAGTTCTCTGTGAGTTTTATACCATTTCTCGCGTCGAATAAACTCAACGTTGTATAATAAGGTTCCACTTGGCACAGAGATTCCTTTTCGTCGATAGGCGCTTGCAATCGAAACTTGAGGCTCTCGCACTTGACAAAAATCCTATGGCCAAACTGCTCCTTATAAGGATCTACGTTGTGATCAGCAGATTGCCCTATGTTTATTTTGGCATGGGGTATGTAAGGATACACACTGAATAGTCTTTTTCTGTTCTCTCTCCTTGCTAAAGCGATGCTGGTGTCAGTCTCTCTGGAGTACTTTATCAGTTGTGGATTCATGCTTTGTTCAAGGCCCTTCAATGTGCCATAAATCTAAAATCAAAATATGAAATAATTAGATAGATTTTTCAAAATCCGTTTTTTGAAAAAAAAAAGTAAGAAGAATTAATAATCGATTAAAATAACTTGGAGATAATAATGATTGCACTACCTGCATAGGTTGTGGCGATGGCGGAGGCGTGTTACAGGCTCTCTCCAATGAAGCAGCACGTTTTTCTTCTTGCTGTTTATAATGTTGTAACACGGAACTGAGCTTCAACAACCAATCTTGCATATCGGTCTCACTGTCGGCAGCCAGAGTATAAGATTTATGAGTGTCGCTCATTCGTAGCTCGAAACAATATCTCCCGCGTTTTGAATTTCTAACAACTTCTGTGCAAAAATCCATCACTATTGTCAGTTTTGCCTCCCCTTTTCTCTCATCTTTGAAAAATTCGAGTATATAAGTGCCATCAACCTCCTGCCTGAGATGACAGAAACGTCTCTTGAACGATTTCGAACCGATGTGAGCGAACATTCTATCTGTACTACCAATCTCAGGACCTTTCATCAAATAGCCTTCCTTCGTTATACCATCGTTCTTTGTCAATTCCTGCAAAAATATATACAACCATGCTTACTTTTAAATGTGCAATGAAAAAATAGCTCCCAAAGGAACATAATATTTGAACAAATTAAAATTCTAAAGATCCATTAAAAGTATCACTATCGTATTACAATCTTAGTAAGTATTACAATCTTTTAAAATGAAACAGAATATTACCTCATCTATTTGATCCACTTCTGTATCAATTTCATATACTTCATCTTTTAAATCGTCCGCTTTCGATATTCTAGAAATTTAAGAAAAAAAAAAGGAAAGTATTTACAAAACAATAGATAATTTTCAATAATCATAATTAATCTTGACATTAGATTCATATACCTTGGCAATTCGAGATAAGTTCCACTGTACGCCGCATATTTGTAATGTATAAGATTCCAATTGGATGTATAACTATGTAAACATTCCTTTGTCAGGAGATTTTCCACTCCTTCTTCGCATTCTGTAATATGCTGTGCCGTCGGCACCATGCTACGATATCTTCTTGGAAGAACCACTTGCTGTAGAAAAATATATATTTAACAATAATAATCATAATTACCCACTTTTTTAAGAAAAATAATATCTAAAATTTTTTCAACTAGATAATTTTGTCTGTTTATAAAACTAAATTGAAGATATATATTAGAAATAAATTATATTTTGCATGTATTTCATATATTTTTATCTCATATCCTGTTCATTATTCTTGCTGTGCTGCCTTATCTATAAATGAAACGGATGGCGCTGACCAGCTTATAGATAAGCAGTATGAGACTGCAATAACTCACAGAAATATCATCTTGAGGGTATAGCAGTAATTCTCGCTGAGGATCATTTTGCAACAGAGTCTTATTTTTCAGGATAAAATTCTCAAAGTCGATGGGTTCGACCAAGTGTGGTTTATTCTGCAAAAAAGAAATACATAAATAAAACAATAATACAAATCTTGAAGATAGAAGAATTACATAATACAATTATCAAAACATAGAAAGTCTATGATTTTTGAAATATCTCTACAAAACCCTAGCTTGTATTTGATTAAATATGATAAAGACGTCGTCAAATAAAGTGACGAATTTAATTGATAAAGCTTAAAATTTAGGAGAGCTCCAATAGCTTGTTTACACTTTATGCTCAATGATAGGGGAGCTTCCCGCGCTCTGGCAATAGCCGTAAGCATTCTCGCGTATGTGAGGCCCAGTAAACACCCAATTCCGGGGATAAGCATCGAAGGTTGATTGATCTCACCTGCACTGTACTCTCGCGGACGACTTGCGACACGGTTTCCCGTAACTGCGCCGCCATGCCGGGTTTCCCCAGGCCGCGCGTAAACTTCCTCTCGCTCATCTCGCACGTCAGGGCTGATCGATGCCAATCGATCCCGGATCCCGGATCAGATGGGTCGCGTCAGGCCGCATCGGTCACCGCACGCGGCCCCGCCGGAAAACAATTGAGGGCATCACCCGCGACCTATTGTGTGTGTGACAATCGATTAAGATCGCCAACAACTCCCGTCGGCCATCACGCTATTCCCGTCGCCCCCGTTGCGCAGAGGACGGTACCAACGATCGCGTCAGTAGCTCACATCTGATCGCAGGTTGCGTCGAGTGTTGTGTCGGAATCGCAGTTTTATTCGAACGTTATCGTGCAAAAATATGACAACGGCGGCGAGGCCGACTTTCGAGCCTGCCCGGGGAGGGCAAGGTCGAGGCGAGAAGGACTTGAGCGCAATTTCCAAACAATATAGCAGCAGAGATTTGCCATCGCACACGAAGCTCAAGTACAGGTAAACGGGAGGGGCGGGGGTTAATCATAAGTTTAGCATAAGTCTTCGGAAATCTGCAATTTGTATAAATATTAGTAATAAATAAATATTAGTTGTATATTAATACACGGAAACGTGTAGAATCTTTACGCAGTTGCTCGTGTTAACAGATAATATTTTCAGGTTAGATTACAAGAATTTTCCTTTTTTTTCTGTATTTACAATATTTCTCTTTTGCAGAGAATACGGACAGGGAACGGTCGAAGAGCTGCGAAATCGTGACTTCAGGAAAGAATTAGAGGAAAAGGAACGAGTGGAAAAGGACAAAGGATCAAGCCGTCGTGCCATTGAACCTTCCAGAGAATCAACTACATCCAGTGCGAAAAGACAGAAACTAGATCAAGTTCCTGCGGCTAGCTTAGATGCAGACGATCCACTTGATGACGATGAATCAGATTCTGATAGTGATGAAGACGACATTAATGAGCTCATGGCTCAGCTCAATAAAATTAAGAAGGAACGAGCAGAGGAACAAGCTAAAAAAGTATAGAAAATCTGTGCTACTATAAATTAAACATCTTGCAAAATCTATCAAGAGTAAAAAAACGCAAACAATCTTAAAAGTTGAAATATATGAATCCTTAGAGTGATAAATTGGTTATTTTATAAATATCTTACACTTCCTGAGAAGATGCAGAAAAGAAACTTATAGCAGATCAATCAATTCAGATGTACAATTCGATGAAATACTGTAGTTAAACCACAGTAAGCCTAAAGAAAGAGTCTGATAGACTTATTCTGTAACTTTAAATGCATGCGTTAAAAATTACAGAATAGAATTCCTGCAGAAATAAATACATAGTTTGTTATATATAGCAATTTTTGAACGATTGCAGGAAGTGTAGAGATATGTAAAGATATGTAAAAAAAATGACCAAAAGTAATAGTCTTATGAATAGATGTTTGCTGAGTCTGGTAATAACGTAACATATTTTGACTTACTAGCTTCATTCCTTTATTCACATTCATATTTTCATCAAAGAATAAAGAAACGTATTGTTTTAAATTTTGCAGGAGATGGAGAAGCGGCAAGAAGAAGAAAGGATACGCATGGAAAATATTCTTTCTGGAAATCCTTTGTTAAATTATTCGTCACAAAGTGGAAGAGTGGATATGAAGGTACGAAGACGATGGGATGACGATGTTGTCTTCAAAAATTGTGCGCGTTCCGAACCTAAGAAGAAACACGATATTTTCATCAATGATTCTCTGCGAAGCGAATTCCACCGCAAATTTATGGAGAAGTATGTTAAATAATTCAGTATATTAATCAGTATTAACATTGTACATAGGTTTTTTAATGCATATTATATTGAATAAAAGCACATTTCTTCTCATCTTCCACATTATATTATTGATTCTAGACAATAAAGAACAAAAAAATTATTATTCAATTAAATTATTTGTGCGCAATTCCCCATTATTGATACTATAATACAAAGTGACTGCCAGAGAGATTAATTTCAATATATATACATAGACATTAAATAATTATTCAATTAAAACAACAGATTTAGTCTGATGTATCTTTAGCTTCTTATTGTCATTATCTACAACTCGAAATATAATTGCATATATAGAGATTATAAAACGGCTATTCTGCTGTCTTCTGTATTTCTTAGATAAAAAGACATTTTAAATATTTATAGGATCTTTTTTTTCTTTTTTACTTTACTGTGACCATATACAAATGCCAAACTATAAAATCTTTTATTCTACTTATATTTCATTTTACATATATGTGACAAAAAATATTTGTAAAGAAAATAATTTTAACAAAATTTATTGATGAAAGATTAATGTGTTATCTAAATAAAATATTCCAATTATAATTAATGTGTTGGTTCTATTCCATCAGATCCCTTGTTTTCTACAAAACATAAATTGATTTGTTCATTCCACGGATAAACGCTTGAAAGGAAACAATTTGCGGGGGTGCGGTCTTTCGCTTCCGTAGATCTTTCGGTAATTGTCTAGAACCCGTACACATGGTACATATATAGTTAATAATGAGCAATATATTCTTGGCGATTCATCTGCATGAATGCCATCTTCTCAATCCGTAAAGTTTTGTATCTCTCAACTGTGGATTCCTGCCAATCTCTACCCTCTCCTTTCTCCGCGCCACTCCGACATTTCGTTCCTGATTCGTATCAGCGATCCGTATGCTTCAAGTTATGTGTGGTATGCATGTGTATGTGGTGTGTGTATGTCGGTAGCGATCCGGTCTCGGACTCTCGGACAGTGCGCAACGAATCGCGCGCTGGGTCAAGTATAACCGGTCCCACAGGAGCCCTACGGGGCCTGTGGCAGCAGGCAGTCTACCGGTGCAGCTGGTTATCGCCAGTAGACTTCTTGGCACCGACTTGACATCGACATGGCCAACCGACTTAACGCACCCAGTCAGTCGTCGTCCCACAAAGAGGCAACGGAACTCGAGAGGAGCGTATCTGAATTAACATAGATCGATGATAGAAGATTTCATTTAGCGAAACTAATGTCAATTTCCAATCGCCGAGAGAAATCGGCAGTTGAATCTAAAAATATTCGAATATAAATTTCTTTTGTGCTCTAATTCCATTTTCTATTTCCTTTGGTTCCCTCGATAACGTTTAGAAAATCTATTTCCTCGATAAAAATGCGTTCATATTTTCAAGTAAATTCCCATGTATATTTGTTGATAACGTCGTTAGGATATGTTCCACTAAAAAATTTAAAAAGATCTGAAAATGGAAATTTACAGTGACAGCAAAATATTAAAACTAAAAGCGAAAAGATTATTTTTATCTTTTTAATACGGCGTTTATACAATATATAAGATCAACTTTAATTTTAATTAACAAAAAAAAATTAACATTAATTTTGTAGCTACATATTTTCCAAAAAAAAAACCATTATAAATAAAATATTCTATACTTTGCATTATTCTACATGTAATGTGGTTAAGTTAAGATATAGAAAAGTTTTAAGAAAATTTTCTACATATTTTTCCGATGACTACCTTTTTCTGTGACCGAGCCATCAAGAATTCAAGACATTTTTATCTACTCATATTTCTGTATCTTATGTGCATGTTTTTACATATTTGTACAGGATAATTAGCAGGATACGTACGTTGATTGGATCGAAAATCATTTTCAAGTCAATTTTCGAAATAACTAAAAATGTATTAGTATTCCCACAAATATAGAAAGTGTAAGCATTTCCATATTTATCTGTCGCAATCACATGTGTAACCAGTTCTTTTCGATGCAGAACATTTAAAAATTTGATTAAGCAAAAGATTTGCATAAGATTGAAAAATAAAAATTAAAAACTGTCAAGCTTTAATTACGTAATCGTTTATCTCATCAAAACTTGTATTAGAGACTTTACCTCTGTCTTTCAAACAATCTTATTATAATTTCGAAAAGAACCTTTCTCTTCTGAAATCACACGACACCAGATATATATCGCGAATAAAATTAATTCATAAAAGTTTGAATGAAAGAAAGACTTTTTGGAAAGATGACACGAATGTACACGAATTTGTTTTTAAAGAATAATTCCATTTAATTGATTTTCGAATAGATCTAAAAGAATTAGTAAAGTTTCGATATGTATTTTTATTCACACACCGCTCATATATCGCCTTCATTTGATATTTGCGGCTTGAATTCACTTTCACCACACACAGGCCACTAATCAGTTACATATTCTGTTCCTTTTACATTTTATGGAATATAAATGGCTATGTATACAAATGTATGCATAACGTTTACTAAATTACGCAAAAATTATATTTATCTAAATATACCGATAGTGTCGATCAGAAAGAAAAAGAGAGAGAGAATCAAGTAATTACAAGTTCATTGTTATTCTGATTTAATATAATAATCTTAAAAGAAATGCGCTAATAAAATGGTCATCTTCAAAGAAGTATTTCATAAAATTACCATCATTTCATAAGTGATTTTTTTAAATCACTTGACACCTCGAGATCGACTGTCTTTATTGTTGTATCTTATTAAATGTAAATAAGAATACGATCTCTAAGCTAAAGAAATATTAGTTACCTACATAGAGGAATCTTTTTACAGCCTCTCACATGGGCCGCCATCGCGTCCTCTAGTCCCGGTCCACGATACCACCTCGTTAAAGAGAGTCGAGTTATCGGCGACCAGTCCTGGTTGCCAATATTAACCGCCTACTCGTTCGTCAGGGGCGGTCCTACCTCTAGGATCCAGGAACGTGCAAATAATGAGTCACAAATTCGCTTCATCTTCTGCTGCGCTTCAGAAGTCGAGATGACCCTGTAAATTTTTTATAATTTTAACATCTCACATATAAGCTCAGGGATATTGATTTGTCAAAAGTTTTAGTAAGCATTTAGTAAGTATATTCCATACTTGACATGGATTATCTTTAATAAGCATCATAAAATTTCAGTTATTACTTCAATTTTTCGACACTATTACAGCTGACGATGCTGGAGAATATTTAAATAAACGTATAAAATTAAATTGATAACGAAGAAACCTCGACTCTTCTATTTCGCAAGATATTACAACTCGTGCGCGCGCGTGTCTTCTTTCTCTTTTAAATGTTATTCTGTTTTAAAGATTATGGATGCTGTTAAATAGAGCTTACGCTCTAATTTGGAGTGTAAATTGTTATAAAACAGCGTCAAATGACAATGAGGCCATACGTTTGCGTGTCGTAAACGAAGAAAAACAGAATGGCGAGCGCTCGGAGAGAGAAAAGATAGACGTTGGCGGTCGAGCGGCGGGAGTGGGGCCGATCAGGCCCCACGGTACGGGCCTGGGAGGCGGTGAGCTCGCTGAGAGACGACTCGGGACGACGACTGGCATGGGCCAGACAAACAGACTGCCACTGGCATCGCGAGAGTCGCCAGGAGTCATCCACGGTGACCTATAGTCATTCACAGTCCATCGACGACGAGCGTTCGCGTTGGTTCCTATTATAATCTGTTGATAGACGCATCTCGCAAGATCATTCGATATGATTTTAGAAATACATACTGCTGATCGAAGAGCACAACTGTCCTTTATCACGGATAATCGGTTCTGATCCTGGTTTGTCATTTCTGCAATCCTGCGCTAGTACGGTGATAAAGAGTGTCGGAGAAGTATCCTGAAGTACTATAGAAGAAATAAGAATATATACTTCGCCGAGACGAGCAGGCAAAGTGACCGATCGTTTTGCGATCACCAGTCATCACGAACTGGCTCGCTTCTTTCGGGAAGATCAACAGGGTGATATGCGCGGATAGATTGACATGTTGTGTTTTCATCGCGAGTGAAGAAAGAGATGAGCGAGATCAAAACGTTGAAGGATAGAGTTTGTGACAGTCATTTCTGGTATAATGTAAGAGTATCGTAAGAGCGAAAATGCCGGGCTGATCAACAGAAAAGACGCAATGCACCGTAAATTTCTGATCTCTGTCATCGAAGTCGTCAAATCCCGATACAGTTGTATCAATGCAGAATATTTGATACGCGTCGACGAAAACGACGATCGTGATAATCGTTTTCTTCAAAATTTTTGTGGTACCAGCGGAAGGCGAAATAGCGGAACGAGTCGCAGTATGAGATCATTAAGTCACTAAGGACACTCAAAGACGAAAAATTGCTGATTGTGGTTGTCCGCGAGCGCGCACGCAATGTCCATGTTCCTGACAACGAAACCGCAATACGCGCAGTCGATCAAGATCACCGTTATTCAAGAATCTCGATTGCCAACTCGCGATCGAATAATTAAGCCCTCAAAGATTGTAAGTTGTTTAGACTGAGATTCTTGGAACGAACAGCTACTATAAGTTACCGAACATTTTTAATTTGGTGATTCTTGAATCGTTCGTTTCAGGCACTCGTTCAGGCGCTCTAAATAGTTGTAGAACTTTTCATAACTGATAGCTGAAAAAAACGCACGTGTTTTACACAGTGAAAGAATTATAGGATTTATAAAATAAAATAAAGATCAGAAACTTTTCTTTTGTGAATAAATGCGTGAAAGAAAGCGAAGAGAAGAAACAGAGAAAGAAATTACAAGACAAGGAAAAGGAGAGAAGTTGAAGAAATCTGTTCAGTGATTAGACGCGCGAGTCGAAGCAACTCTTGAATCTTGAAAAGAAGATAGTAGACAAGAGGACGGACAGAAAATCGAGAGAAAAGATAAAAAGGAAAAATCTTGCGATTAAACAGACCTCGGCCTCTCTTCAACGTCGTCAACATGTCAGTCCGGCCTCTTTCCATTCTGTTGTTCCTCACAACAATCCTCGGCGATCTCATCAGCATCGGTAGCACCGAAAGGATGAGCGGTCTGTACGTGGACAACGGTTTCGACCAGACGGTGGTCCATCGTGTAGTCACCCAGCGTGAAAAACGTGAGTTGGAGCATGAGTTTCTGAATCTGCTGGGGCTCCCGGATCGTCCGCGAAACACTATCGGCAACCCTCCCCAGGTCAAGAGATCGGCGCCCAAGTTTCTGCTGGACATTTACGAGAATACTCTCGGCGAGGACGAGGAAGAGAAACATGCGACGCATCATCATCGCAAGGTTGGGGAGTTCGACCTCACTGGCCAGGATCTAAAGGCGATCGATCAGAGCGACGTTATCATGACCTTCGCGGCACACAGTAAGTGATTCCGAATCGAATTTTAGAAGTCTACTGAAAAGAATAGATATTAATACAAAGTATTTTAAAGAAATAGATAGATCCTTCGATTAATTCCGACTTTTCCAGTTGATTAAAATCACAAAACATCAATCGAGTTTCTTAATCATAGACGAAAGAGACAAAAATTTTCTCGTGCATTAGACTTTTAAGAAATGAATATTTAGCCAATTTCATCAATACTTAATTTTGAAGCACAGAACATATAAATACAAACATATCAATTTGAATTTCAGAAGGTTGCAAAAAAGTCATATCAGATTTTTACTAATTAGAAAACAAAATCCAATGCCAGATTCATCGAAAAATCTATGCTTAAAAGTTCTATCGCAGAGGATACATTTACCTCGCAAATAAAGTGATACCTTCCTCGCGTTCATTCACCCGCCGACATTCGCATCACGAGTTCAAATACGCAGTGATTTATTTGACGCGTGACATCTTTGTGCTGTTTCGGAAAAGAAGTAATTAGCTGATATATTGCTGATGAGAATATAAATATATGTTGCATAAAATAACGCACAAAAACATAAAAAATAGAAAAAGTTTTGAATCGTTTTCCTTTTAAAATCAGTCTTAAAAATAATCTTACACAGGAAATAAATCAATTTAATTAATCGTCTAAAAAAATTTTTTTTTACTTGATATACTCAAGCATCTTCTCACAATTTTCGAATTCCTCGTGGTATTAAGCATTTTCGAAAATATTTTCCCGAGAAAAGTGAGAATCCTTTAAAGAGAAATCGATAAGATTAAAGAAACAAGAATACTTTTCCGCGTACGTTCTTGAGGGATGAGGTCACGAGGAGGATAAGAAACACACGTTCTCGACAATAATCGACAAATGTAAAATTTATAGGATTATATTATCGCTATCTATTTAACAATTTTGCGATTAAATCAAAATTCCACACAACTTTCGATAAAAATTTAAAATAAAATCTCTATCTTTCCTTTTCTTTTTTTTTTTTTTTTTTTTCCAGTTCTCTGCCGCCGCCGTTAGAACGCGAACGAGCGTTCGTCAATTATGAGAATTATTCGCGACGGACCATATTAGATTTGTATCTCTCGTATGTCTGGCGGATATAAACAGGCCGATTTTATTTTATTATTTAAAAAAAAATCTTTTTTTTTCCTTTTTTTTTTTTTTTTTTTTTTTTTTCTATTCATGACGCAGATCATGGTATGAATGGTACAAGGAATCGATTTGAAACATCAAACGAGATATATTTCGCGAGAATGAGATAAGAAGAGAGAAAAGGAAAGAGGAAGAGGGAACATCAGATTCCTCGGAAACCCGTTACTGCCTCCTCTTCCTCCTCCTCCCTTTCTCCTTTCCGTTCGTATGTCTGGTTTTCTATTTCGCTGTCGTCCTCACGTCGGTGAGAAACATTCTAGACTATTCGACGGGAAATGCGGCATGCATATAAATCCGATAGTAGCTATAATAAGTCGCAAATCGTTGCGTACAGACAAGTATAGAGAGAGATAGGGGGACAGAAGCATAGGGATGCAGAGGAACCGAAAAACAGGGACGGGTAGGATTAATTCAGATACACACGCGCTCGCCATAGGCCGTATATCTTATGTACAAAGTTTCTCCTCGTCCCCCTACCATCGTGGGATACCCCCCTGGGAAAGACGAGTCAATAAGTATCTCTTTCTTTCTCTCTCTCTCTCTCTCTCTTTGCTCGCGCGAAGCCACGGGCAGGTTAAAATGTCTCAACTTGGGGGCCCGAACTCGTCCCACGTCCTTTTGCTCCCTTTTCCCACTTCCCTCCCGTACAATCTTCCTCCTTCGCGCGGACAGCGGGACGGCCGACTGCCCGAAGGGAGAATGGCATGGCTACGAATTATGAAGATTAGAACGCTGGATCCTGGAGATGGATGGATCCGCAGCGGAATTAAATGTAACGGATCTGATCGGGAGAGAGGAGTATGCCAATGTCCATATGAGAATAGTTCGCTCCCTTTTTTATTCATTCATGATGCGCACATATGTTTATCAGAGTACCGTGTCATTCTAGTTTTTTAACAGAAAAAAACGATTCATGTATCAAAATCATGTGTCGAATTGAGTGATGGCAAATATTTACGCTTTCAAAGAATTTATCATCTCGGGAATTAAAAGGACGTTCGTGAAACTTTATTCTACCCCCTTCCTCTCTCTCTCTCTCTCTTTCTCTCTCTGTGCCTTACTGTCTGTACATATATGAAAACACATACATACATGTAAGGAGATGCGGAGGGGGAGGCGCTGGGAAGGTACAGCGCGGCGGCACAGCGTAAAAAACAAAAACGCACGGCTCGCCACAGAACGTTCCAAGACGGTCCCAAAAGCTATTTGGGACCACCCCGAGAGTCGAGGAGGCCCCGGCAATCTGGTACCGTTGGAATGCGACCGTCGGAACGAAAAAACAAAACAAATTTTTATGTCCTCCCCCTCCCTCTCATTCTCCTCTCGCGTCCCTCTTCGAATCTCGCCGCCCACTTCAGTAGAGGCATTAGGCATTACTTAGAGGCCTCCCCTTCCCGGCATCAAGTCTACCGCGAAGGAAGGGTACTTCTCTCTTACTACCTTTCCTTTGCTCGTAGGACGGCGGCTGCTTTGGCGGAAAGAAAGAGGTCGATTTCACGCTGCGAATTGTCCACGATTCATTTCTAAGGGCCTCCTCGGAGAGTTCAAGTGGGCTCACCAAGGGTCCCATTATCGACCGGTGCTCCTTTCATGCAGGTTTCGTTTCGCGATAACGAATATCTCCAAATATGTTATCTTCTCGTCGGGAAGAGAGCCTAATTACCGTTCCATTGTAAATCTAGAGATTTTCGTAAAGTGGTTTGACCAAACTCTGAGTCACAGATTTCAAGGTTGAGTCGCATCGATAAGAATAGCCATTTACAACCCTAAAAATAGTTTGCATTAGTAGAATTCCGAAAACGATGGAAATATATGTATATATACATTTTCGAAATCTTGACCAAGACAATAATAAACGTATAGAATTTTCTCGAGATGTCGCAATGTTGTAGTCACATATCAAACATATAATACTGTCATAAATATACATTTTAATATAGTGTATAAATTTTAAAATCTTGTAGTTCAATAAGATTTATGATTCTGAAATCAAATGTACGAATGGTGCGAGCTTTTGTTACATGATTATTATTGTTAGCGCTCCTGAACTGATCGTAGACTTGTAATTTAAAATAGATCATCATGTCCCCGGGGTGAGGCATGAACGTGGAAAGAGGCTTTGGTTCGACGTGTCCGAAGTACCACCTCGAGAACACATAATTGGCGCTGAACTCAGGCTGTACCGCGGACCGGACGTCAAGGGTCGCAAGAATCATGGATCTCACACGATCACTGTGTATCGAGTATTGAAGACCGGGAATGGGTAAGACATATTCTCTATATATTTATTCCATAATAATTATCTGGAATTTTATGTTATTCTAATCTAGGATGTATATGGGAAAAATTAAGGAAATATTAGAGAACGCAATATATTGAAATTCAAATTTTAAAAAGCTTGCAAAGGCTTGAACATTTTCACATTATGAATAATAAAGCATAAAAGAAAAATTGTATTTGTCGTTCGCTCGCTTTTGTGCCAAGGACGCCTGGGTTAGACCAATTTCATATTCCTTCGGGCATCCTTCGCGCTTTTTGACATCGTCATCGTACCCCTAATTAGAAGGTCCTTAATCCCCTTCGCCGAAAAAGTCCCAAGTATTTGTTCTACCTGCAGAAGGAGAATATTCCGGACGTCCTCTTTCATCTTCGACTTCTCTATCCTGTCTCTTTCTGTATCTTTCTCATTCGGAAGACGAGTGACATTTGGACGTTCATTCAATTTTCCTTCTTAGTATCGTATCTGGAAAATATAATTACGTTTAGAAGTTTAGAGGAAATTATTTGTGTAAGAACGATATACAAAGAACGGATAATCGGTAGATAACTGCCGAAAGTATATCGTGATTCAAAGATGATGGACGGTAGCCACAGGACCACCGGCGGGCGCCATCCCATTCGGATGGGAACTGAATCGTAAAAAGGAAAGCGTGGTGAGTTAATCCAAGAGGGCAAACCTCCTCTACGCCGGCGGTAAATGGCGACGGTCTGTCTAGAGACGCTTCATCTAATAGACGTACTGCTCCGTCACACAAATCGTGAATCATGAAACAATCCATCACCGTTAACGGCCGTCGTCGTAACTCTTCTTAACGCTTGTAAATGTTAGAGTACACTTTTAAGTATTCTTTTATATTAATTTCAATGGATATCCGCAATCGTCTCTGCATTGCATTTTTTAGAAATCTAATTGCCTTTCAAATTCGTTAAAAAATTAATTTTTATAATCAATTTCAATAATACTTCTTCTTTGAGATTCTGATAGCCAACATTTGCTGAGTAGTCATATGAATTTAACGATCATCTGCTTACTTGATGTATATAATCGGCTTCACTAGATTCTTATACAAAAGATTCATAATGTATCATTTATAACTACGAGGGAATAGCCATTATTGTGCTCTATTATCTATTCAATATCCTGTCGTTTCGCAGTTTCGGCCACCTAGTAAGCTGCTCAGCTTTTCAGCCTTTTGATTTACTATGAGGAATTGTAGAGTGACAGCCGACGGCACGTCTCGCTTTGTCTTTCTTTCTCCCTCCCCGAGAGTTTTGGTGGCATTACGACCTGAGCCTGACCGATATACTGAGCCCCGACAGGAAACACTATTCCGTAAATTGAGGTAAATTAGCCGTGGAGACGGGCTAACAGGCTCTCTTCGTGTTCTCCGTCTCCTCCGCCTACGCAGTTGCGTTCAGAGGCTGCGTCTCTCTCTCTCTCTCTCTCTCTCTTTTTCTCTCTCCTCCTCTTACCCTTTTCGCCGGCTGTTTCGGCTCTTTCCATCAAAGTCAAACTATGCGTGACGCATCCTCCACCTCCTCCTTTTCCTCCTCCTGCCTCTTCTTCGTCGCGAGACAAGTTGGCGACTCGTTGCTTTCGTAATAAGATCTCTTCGCGGTACATCATTATGTTACGGAATTCCAATGATAAACGTTCTTCTTGAACTGAGAGAAGTTACATTTGAAATTAAAATGGCGAGATACCAATCTCTTGTAGATGAAGATTGAAACAAAGTTTCTAAAGAATTTCAAAAATCTCTAAAGCTTTTAAAATTTATAGCGCGTGAAATTTATTAGATTTAATTTCATGCAATGAAATAATAATAATATAGTATCTAAATTATTTATACGAATAAATAATATAGACAATTGTTTTGCAGAATTGAATGTCAATTGATCCCATTTTCTATTACAATAAAAATTTCGTCTTGTTTTTCGAGAAAAAAGATTGCTTGGGCATTCAATCTGGATTCATCAAAGTAATAAATCGAATTCACATTCAATCTTTATATTTGATTAAATGAGAAATCATCGAAAAGCTCGGCTTTAAAGAAAACGCGCAGTTCGTTCAATCACGATAATCGATCCGCAGAAAAGCGATAAAAGCTAGATGCTGCGAAGATCATTTGCTTAATGAACAATGATCGGCGTGTGTTTCTTTACTGAGTCCTTATTGATGCGAGGCACGCGCGAGGCTTCGTGATTAATTAGAAATTACAATCCAGAGAATCACGACAAAGCATCTTCGTGCCGAGATACATTATGCGTAATGATCTCGGTATGCTGTTGAGAACACAATATTAGTATGTACATGCACATACACATCTTATTGATTGATACAAAACAAGAATACCTGTCATTGCACTGTAATTAATAAGTTTGTATGATATTCACATTTTCATGTAATATAATCGTTTGAAATCTGAATTAAGATTTAAATAAAAATATATATGTGTCGTGACACAACAAGTTATCTTACAAATGTATTTGATTTATTTAACTAAGGGATTCCTCTATGTACATAAATATTTTATATTCGAGGATGCACAGAGTTTTTCACAAGCATTCATTTTTATTTTGATAATACAACTAGTTTTCATCCAAATTCGATATTTTTAGACCAAACTTTAAAGAGTACACATGTAACTTTTTAATATTAAATTTTAAATAGTCCGTAATATTACCCCGATATCAAATTCTGCGAATTAATTTAATAGTATAGATTGGAAAATTAATATGATAATTACATTATACGCATGATAAAAGAATCTATATTTATCTTTACATCGTTTAGAGTGCAAATCCAGATATGTAATAATCATATATAGAATATATGATTTATTTTAATATTTCAGGACTCGAGAATTACAATATGTCGATGCCATAAATATAACGACCAGCCAGCAGGGTTGGCAGACATTGAACATCACCGAAGCTCTCGATCATTGGGTGAACAACCCCGATGGAAATCGAGGACTATATCTCTCTGTGCATCCCGCCGATCGTTTAGGTGAGTAGTGCATTTATTCATAATTGCATATTATCTTATTATTTTCATCTTGACAAAAACTACAAGGCATTTATTATAAAATTCGAAATAGCGAGCTGTATTCTCCACTTATATCGGATAAGTTGTTACTAATAACGTAATGCGATATTTCTAAAAAAGAGAACGTTCCCGCATTAAGAGTTTTAAAGAAGTATTACTTCACCTTTATGGATGAGAGTCTCCTCCTATTAACTGTGTTTCCGTTCAAACTTCTCAGCCCGACTTCTTGGGAATAGCGCGCTAAATATAGAACGACTTGATGTAAACACGTACCATGTTTATCGAGATTGGATCGCAAGTAAAGCGCGAATTCGAGTTTTAACTCTTACGTTATTTGGAAATGTACCTGCTTTCAAACATGAGAAAAAAAAATATAACAAATAAAACAATATTAATCAATCCTTCAGGCATTAAAGATTAAAGGCCATCTGTATTACGTACGATATTTAACGTAGCTTTGAAATAAATAGTTTATTTGGAGAAGTAATTTTTAACGGAGTATATCCTTAACGATCATGAATTCGTGTCTCTCTTCAATGTTACACCTGTTCAGCGCTCTCACTGCCATACTTTTGTTCTGCTTAGCTCGTATGCGTGACATGAAAGATTAGTAGCTTAACAACGCCTCTGTTGAATCTTGAATATCTTCCTGGTCGTCTTGGGTATTTGATATCGTTGATGTTTAATTATCGTTTTATCTTAGTGAATCCTTGATGCTGCAAATTTTTCACCGATTTAAAAGTTTTTGTCATAGAAAAAGACTGACACTATATATAATACAGCCAATTTATTTTATACAGCCGAAATTTATTTTATGCAAATTTGCATAAAATAAATTTCGAAATATTAGACATTTGTTTACATAATTTTTTAATAGAAGTCAAATTGTTATTGAATCTTTGTTTCCAACATTTTCCTCTCGATATCATTATATTTTCTCTATATACTTCATAACGCAATTTATCTTATATCTTACAATTAGATGCAAAAAAGCGCAAATGTTCTGTCGCTTTTAAAATTATTCCCTTGAATAAGTTTGCTTGATCATGTTCGCGATTCACTCGCACACTTTGTTACTATTCGGGATACATCGTCTCTACGATGGCTTCCCACACTGACGAGATATATTCACGAATGCGAGATGTACTCGCGTTGAATTCAAGAGGACGGGCAATCTTAAATAGGAAAAGAAAGAGAAAGAAAATAAAATAAGATACACAAAGAGGCAGAGATTGGGTTCGATTTTTCGGCCATTGAATCTCTCTGCGCGAGGACAGTTGAAAGATCGATAAGAGAGTTACACCTGTTTATTAGATTATCGAAATGAAAAATCTGATTGATCCCATAATACAAATGTAATGGTTTTTGTAGAAGAGATTGATTGTTTAGCTATAACGTGAAAGTATGTTTAAATATTGGATGTTTTTGTAACTCATTTTGTACCAAAATTGTTCTATTTTGTTGTCAAATATTTAGAGATCTTTATATTCGACTCGGCAAAGAATACGGTCTTTTATTCAAATAAAAAATATTTACAGTTTGATTTGTTAAATTCTGATAACGTGTATTTAAAAAAAAAAAAAAAACAATTGTAGTAAAAATGGCAATATGATAAATAACATCGAATATATTAATGATTCAAGTGTATACAAACTGCACTTGCGAGTATGTGCATTTGTATGCGCGTTTATGGATAAGTGTGTGCATGTATACGTATGCGGTTTGTTGTTTGCCGCGCCTAGATTATTTCATTACTTGCTTCTCTCTCTCTCAACTGGCTGCTTTCCTCTTTCCTCTTGTCTCACTCTTCAGAACGCGCAACCGGTTTACCTTTGATCGTTCAATATAAAACGCAAGATCAGAGAGTCACATGCCTCTCACGAATCTTTACGCCTGATTCCTGCCTCTTTCTCTCTCTTTCCTATCGCGTGTTTCTCTCGCGAGAAACTCCAAGGATACATTGCCTATATCTAAATATAAGCTAATCCGAAATATAAACTGACAATAATCACATGTTTATACTTCTTGACTCTAATATAGTTTCTTCGAGTCCGTGGTGACAATTTCAATAAGATTATTAGAAAACAATCTTAATTGTCAAAAATTGTATTGTCTATCGGAAATTGTTCCGGGACTATACAAGAGCATACATTTAATACGATCATTCATTCCTCGGCCAATTGCTAAGGCCTTCTAGCCGTATATGCCAGCCGGCCATGAATGGGAAAAGATGATAAAAATTACTTGAACTTGAATGCACTTGAATGCGCGATCTCTCGCGATGTCTCTCCCGTCCACTCCGAGAATCCCGTCGGTGCATTCCTCAGGCGTGCAAAGTGCAACAACTGCGGCGGCAGGATTCCTGCCGGTCAATTTACTAGCTTTCTCGGACTCGCGGTGCGCATGCTGTACCACCGGCGATAGTAGATATCCCCGATCATTTGCATACGATGGTTTGCCGCAACCAAGCATTTAGCGCCGAGAAATCATCGATTTACACAGCATCTAAAATTATCGAACAAATACACAATATTATATAAAAAAATATTAGCTTCTTTCTCTCTCTCTCAAGATTTTATTCGCAGCAAAGTGGGAGGGGAGATATCAATAGATAATTAAAAGAGAAAGCACAATTTTCTAACGATAGGCTTATTAGATGTTATAAAATTATTATTTAAGGAACGATAAATATGTGTTTCAATAAATAATTGATCCAAAAATACTTCAAATATTGTAATCCTGGAATTTTCCAAAGTAATTAAGACGATTGGAACGTTGGCGCGTTCAAAGTGAATGTCTAAGATAGGCCAGCTGTGTGACTTTGCGCCGAGATTCTTGATTCTTAAGCGTTCAATATTCATGAAGGTTGACTATTAATAATCCCAAGAGAGACGCATTCTAATAAACATACATTTATCCAATACATTCTACTTACGGAGGCGATTCCATGTAAAGAAATATGTAAACAGGAGTTCTGTTTTCGCGTCGCAAAAGCGCATGGCGATTCTAATGTGTCAAGAGTAACGATACTTCGATAAAAATACCGATATTTCTACCGCTTCTTTGTATAGCATATTTCTCCTTTTTCTTTTATATATTATTTCTTTCTCCTTTTATGTTATTTTATGACTATATTTTCCGAATTCTCTTTGCGTGCGCTATACTTTTATTCCAAATATATTCCCAGAATAAATTATCACACACATACTATTATAACTAGCATCATATAAGTATGTTATCCATTCGCTTCTTCAATCAATATATCGTATGTACAGTGCATGAAGTAAGACCGGAAGATATTGGGATCGTAGAGTTTCGGGGTGATCCTGATAAACAACCCTTCATGGTGGGTTATTTCAAGAGTTCGGGCATAAGGGAATCCAAAATCCGTCAGAAACGCGATGCCAGGAGGAAGAAGAAAAGCGAATCCACTAGTTGGGATTACCGGACCAATCCTTACACTGGTATGTATATACTGTGTACAAAGTTATAATCTCGACTCAATCGAAATATACGTAAAATTGATTAGAAAATCTTTTTCGCTATGTCAAAACCTAGTGAAATTTATAAATTGATGAAATATTTGTATTGACGAAAGGATATTTTTTTAGATACTGGTGCGACATATTACTCGCGAACATGCAGGATCCAAACATTGTACGTCAGTTTTCGTGATTTGCAGTGGCAGGTGAGTGGAATTAATCAGTATATCTTGTAGCTTCCGGTCCTTCGCCGCAGCCGCAATATGTTGGATTACGATCAGAAAAACAAAAGATCAGATAATTATTTATCGTCTTTACATCCGACATGGCTGCGACGAGAAACCTTAAATAACGCACGCTATGCACTTTATTCCTTACGATTTCTTCCCAACATTTGTCTCACAGGATTGGATTATCGCGCCAGATGGATACGATGCGTACTACTGCAGCGGGGATTGCAACTTTCCGTTAAACGCTCACATGAACGCGACCAACCACGCGATAGTCCAGACACTGGTGCATCTAGTGAGCCCGGGCAAAGTGCCCAAGCCCTGCTGTGCGCCCACTAAGCTCTCGGCCATCTCGGTACTGTACTTCCTGGATGAAAGCAACGTCATTCTAAAAAAATACAAGAATATGGTCGTCAAGAGTTGTGGCTGTCATTAAATTGTCCTCACGATACTTCTCGATTAGTTTCCGAGTTCTGTTGTTGGAACTGGAATCTCGGCAAGTCTAAAAGCTAACAAATTTAGCAGAAGGCAAAAGAAACATGTTTTACCTCCCCTATACTTTATGTATTAAATAAAAAATTGACAAATATTATAGCGCAGCATTTTTGTGTGACAGCTCTGAAGCGACACAAGACACAAATTATTTCTATCTATAAATTTAATCCAATTTATTATGCTGTTCAACTATTTTATATATATTGGATTTCGGTAATATAAAAGAAATTATTCATTTAAGGATTAATGTGTAGATTGATCACATCAATCAGACAAGCTGTCAACAAGATAAAACATAGTTAACCGAATAATAAAATTTTTTGCGCGATATCGTATCAATAATGGCATCGCTGGTTTCCTTGCAATGTATTACAAAAAAGAATGTATTCAGATAAAATATTTGCGTAAAAGAAAGAGTTGTCTGGCGAATCAACTTAATTCGTAGTGAAGAATCATATTTTCTCGGTCGCGTATTATAAATGGATCCATGATTACCAAATAGTTTTTTTATTTATAGTGTAGGTGCGTAGATGTATATTTAAAAATGATGACATAAATTATTAATAATGAAACTTGTTAGCGCGTATATTAGTTATACAAGCATGTATAAAACCAGACAGTTATTACATGTTCATGTTAGGTTGTAAGTTCTGTATATCATCATTGTAAATATACCTTTGTATATACTTTCTACTGAATATTATATACGCATAATGAATATAAATAAATAATAAATAAATTCTAATTTACAAATATTTACTCTATCAAATACACATGAAGTTTTTCTATTAATTTGTCAGTTTCATAAATACATATTGTTACACAATGTCAGAGCACAAACAGTAGCCAAAATCTAAATTTTCTCAGTCTTTCAATAAAATCAAAATAAAGTTTAATGAATTTATAAGGTTTCTAAAACGCAATAGATTATTATAAATAACGGTATATGTGAAATTTACATTAAAGTTTTCTTGATATTTTATTAAAATTATTCTTATAACTTTTTATTATTCTTATAATTTTTTTACTTATTCTTATTACATTGGCACAATGTCAAGTTTCTAATAGCTAACTATAATACAAAAAGTAATAAAACTTTTCTTACCCACTAGCATTTACAAAAGTGTATATAAAAATCAATTAATATTTACCTTCAAACTGAGCAATTTGCGAGTCTTTATAACTAATTCTCTACCAATTATCCATAATACTAACATCACATCTTTAATCGATTTGATTCCTCAGGAGTAAAAGTTGCATATTATTCTTTCGCATAAGGGAACCTTCCTTAGATAAAGATATGTATATGTCGAATATAAATGTACTACACATTATAGAAAATCTATAAAAAAACAAATTAATAAAGTGTCATTAGATTACAAGTATTGATTGTATTTTTTATGTTTTGGTAACTAAATAGCAGACAATCATTTAAAATAATTGTCAACAAATGTTAAAAAAGAAAATATCTATGGAATAAAACCTGAGAAATTAATTATAATTTATTATCAGTATGATTGACTCAAATCTTGCAATTCATACTCTTTTAAAGAGGTACATACATATCTTGCTCTTGCCTTTATTATATTCTTATGTCTATGGCTTTCGGATATTATATGAATAGGTAAGAGTTACACTATTGTGTAACCTTCATTGGTAGGTTATATACTTTGTTAAATATAGGCTGTGTTTCAAAATTCACTGCCAGTACTGAAAATCTATAATTCATGTAACATATATTATAGATTTCCAGTACTAACATTAGCAAACAACAGTAGCAACATTACGATATCATATGTATCTTACAGACATATCTTAAAAATCACAAAACTTAAGTTGCCATTCATTATCCCTTGTAAATTTAAGTTCTTTGATTTTAGTTATTTTAATCACAACCTTCGATTTATGATCGTTAGAAGTTACAATATCACAGTTGCGATGTTACAAATGCAATATTATAACCAAAACAGTTGTTGATATATTGGTGTGTCAACTTAACATACATTTATATCTATACTTGTAAATATTTATTTACGTTATCTCTTAGCCCTCTTCTGTGCTTATCATTGGCAAGTAGCACAAGTTGGACCTGACTATATCCCTCTCGCATATTAACCAATCTAAAAATACAATATTTATTTGAAATTTACTTTGCATTAGTAATTTGAAGATATCACGTATTTTATCACACAGGATCAATAATAATATGTATCTCAGAATTAGTAAAGCAAAAATAATTCAACAATGCCTGAAAGTGTACAGGCACGAAGAAATAGTGAAAAACAAAAATTTTTCTCATAAGTAATGCCAAATACAAACACGTCAATATAAAAAATATAAATGTCATAAAAATTTTTTTTTAGATATATTTTTCAAAGTTTACATATTTATATATTTGTATTTACCTATTTCTCTCCTGTTGTTGTATAGATAATCTGTCACCTTTCTGTAGATATGTAGTTATACTCGTATAACATGATACTTCCGCTGCTGTACTAACAGAAGCGATGGCACATGTAATGAGCTTTTGTTTCATTGACGAACCCTCAGAATTTAACAACACCCAATAAGAATGATTTATCGATTTTCCAAAATAAAAAATCTATAAATGTGATATCTTTTTATGCATAAATGAAAACAGAGAAATGTCTAAACATATCAGGTCTACCGGAAAGTTCTGTCCGTTTTTGGAATAAAACAAAATACAAATTTTTATTACCGTCAATAAACTTTATTAAATAATGTAATTGCCATTATTATTAATGATTTCTTGCCAGCGTGAGGGCAATTTGTATATCCCATTTTCGAAAAATGTTTTATCTTTTGATACGAAAAATTGAACCAGTGCTTGTTTCATATCTTCTTCATTTTTGAATTTTTTGACTCTCAAAAAATTTTGTAAGGACAAAAACAAATGATAGTCGGAGGGTGCTAAGTCCGGGGAATATGGTGGATGCGACAGAATTTCCCAGCCTAGTTCTGCAATTTTTTGACGAGTCCCCAAAGCAGCATGTGGCCTGGCATTATCATGATGCAGTATGATGATGTTCTTCCTATTGAACATCGCCGACCTCTTTTCTTGGACTGCTGTATTTAAATTATCAAGTTGCTGACAATACTTCTCCGAATAATGGCAATTACATTATTTAATAAAGTTTATTGACGGTAATAAAAATTTGTATTTTGTTTTATTCCAAAAACGGACAGAACTTTCCGGTAGACCCGATATATTATAATATCGTATATTTAGAAAAATCCCAGAAAACTTACAGTTAACCAATATCGCGATAAAATTTACAATGTGTATTTTGAGCACATCTTTCCATCATTACTCTTAAATATAGCCGTGGCGAATCCTCCCTGCAACTGCACGATCATTAAGCATGTTATCTCGCAGAGAGAACGAATCTGAAATGTAATTTTAAAACGGCGCATCAGCGTGATTATGTATGGCAGTTCTCGGTCGTTATTTTTAAACGTAATCGTTTCTGCCGGGATCAACGGGCGCGAGAGAGGGAATAAACGAACGATCTCTCCGCTTCCCTCCCTTCTTCGCCGACCACTCTCGAGCGCATATCTCGCTCTGACCTTTATCGTCCTTCGCTTTACGAAATAATCCTGCGCGCGGGAGGATTAATCGCCTCCACCTTCGATCTCCCTTCTCGCATCTCGAAGATAGATCTCGATCGGTCGGCGAGCGCGTATGTACAAGCGAGAAAGCGAGCAAAGTGCACATTCACAGGCCCGTCTCTTGCACGTTGCAATATCGCGTCGTGCGCGCAGAACGTGTTTCTAGGTCTAATGTCGATGTAGCACCTGAGGCGCGCGAGAGTGCAGGGAAGGAAGGTCGACGAGAGGAAACGAGAAGAGAGGAGGAGGAGGGGAAACGAAGACGCGTCGGCTTTCTCGACTCACGTCGCACGATTAACCCTCTCGAGACTCCCGGAGACAATGGCTCGTGTATCCACCTCACTGCTCGTCTTGTAGCTCTGAATTTACCAGTCCCGGAGAGGCTCTCTTTCCCGCGATAGCGACGTGTCAAGTAACAATTACCGATCACAAAGGCGGCACCGACGCGGTTAAATTCATTATACACACGATGCTGGATTATTATTCGCGCACGTCTATCGAATATACAAGTGCATAATTGGAACAATAATGAAAATAATGATAATCGAAATAATTGTAAATGTGATAACGTAAGACCTACAATTATGTTTGATTTTACAATAGTAAATATGTAAGAAACATTTATTCTTTTGTGCGAATGAGTTCTTACATTTGTTTCGAAACATTAGGAATGAGAAAAAGATGAAATTATTTGTATGAGATATTATTTTTTATTACCGTATTTAAAAAGGCGCGCCGCTCCAGTTGCAGGTAAACGCTAGCTAATTTTATAAAAATTCCAATTCAATCTTTTCACGCGCAAGCAACTCTTGCGATTTTCTTTATTTATTTTTTAATAGGTATGCGCACACACATACGTGCTGTACTTTATATTCCATTCGCGTGGGAATAAGGCCGTTCACGAGATTGAACCCAGACTCGGAATATTTGCTTTTGCGAACTGGAAGACTTTGACTCAGTAAGATGGGAGTATTGCGTATACAATGCGTATACAATGCGTCCTTAGGATTCCGCAACCATCGACGTGGAACGCAATCATCTTGTTCAGTATAGAATTCTGATATCAAAGATATCGAAGATTGCGATGTGTAGATTGGAATCTTTTCAACGACTCCGCTCTTCGATTTTCGCTATTTTCTTGTTATTGTCTTTTTCCCACATTTGCCGTTTATCATTTATTTATTATGGATGTTACACACTGGAGTTTTATTTTATTTTATTTTTTATATATTGTATATTATCGCTTAAATAATAAAATTGCAAATATAAATATTGAAGATCGCTATAGAACAATTATAGGATTTCTTCATTTTTAAATTAATATTAAAGAAATAATAAGGTATTCTATAAATCTTAAAAAAAAAAAAAA